CCTATGGTTGATCCATTGAAGAAACTTGTGGAGGTAGCTATTGATAAAACTAACGATAATACTGAACAGGAAACGAACAAGGAGAAGAAAATTACGTTCGATAAAGTTTTCAAGTCAAAAACAACAGCTGACACTCCCTATAAATCTCGATATTTCAATAGTACTGTTAATGACTTAAATTCAACATTACATCCGCTTGATTCTACATTTGAATCCGCTATGTCTATTGCTGATGCTACTGATGATGGCGATGAAGACGAATTTAGTAAGACTAGTGAATCAACACTTGATAGAACTGCAATAAATTTAGACAATGTTAGTTCAAAACAACAAAAACAGCTATTGGATGACTCGATTGTAGGAAACTATATTCGACTATTGCATGAACCGCAACAGAAAAGTAATTTAGACAAGACATTTGACGTTTGCTTGCATGAAAATACATACGTCATAGGCAATTCTCCAATTTCTTTCCAAAACGATAATGTGACTGTGAATGATAAAGCATTCAGCAAGACGCCTGGATTAATGGAACTTCTCTTTCCTAAAGAACCTAATTCTAAATTAATCAGTTCATCCGATATTGAAAATTATATAAAAATTCTTGAAATCACTAACGCTCATCATAAGAGATATGAAACAAATGGAGAATATCGCAATAAGCGTGTAAATAAATTCAAAAAGTATATCGGTCCAAATTTATCTTTAAGTGGTAGTGCTAAGAAGCGAAAATTGACTATTGATGGAAGAGGTCTTTTTCCTAACTATAAAATAGCAAGAAAAGGAACATTATTTGATTATGTATATTGGGATGATCCAAACGAGCTCGTTGATCGATTGAGATTGCTTATCGCCGAACAAACCGCTGGTAATCCTAGTCATATTAATGAAATTCATTCAATCATTGAAGAATTACGTGGAGCTGGCTATATATATTAAGGCAATCCTAAATATTCCTCAGTAATAAAATGAGTGTTGATGTGCTTCGACGTATATTGAATAAAAAGGATCGTAATCGAGGTCCTCCTGGTGTAGGGTATAAAATTACTAAAGACGGACAATGCGACGTCGATAACAAAAGAATTTCTAATGTATAGGGTGGGCCATTTTAAATGATTCAGTCGATTTCCTCGGAAACTATGGGGGTTAGCGTAAAATAGTTCAGTTGAAAGTTGCCCAAATGTCAGGGGGACATATCCCTGTGACCTTGCCTTTGTTCTCTAAGGTCATGTTCAAGGTCATTTGAAGGTCAACTTATTTTTTTAAATAGGAACCCCTATCTTTGACCCCGGATTCGAAAAGAGCCAAAAATTCTACATTCAGATGAGGTAATATGAGTGGGATCAGGGTTCAAAATTAGAACAAAGTAAAATTGTAATGTTTATTTTATTGTACCGGAGAATTACAAGGTCAAATACAACTTGTGTCTGCTATTTACGAAGTCATTTGTTAACCATATTCTAAATATCATTCATTTAACCTCGAAGCAAATGTTCGAAGTTACCTCCATTTGCTTGGAGGCATAAATCGAACCGCCTCTGGAAATGGCGCACAGTGCCAAGCAAAGTTTCTCTTGGTATTGCAGCGCATGCTCGGCGAATGCGATCCTGCATGTCTTCTCTAGTTGTCGGGTGCTGTTCAAAAACAACATTTTTCAAATAGCCCTATAAATAAAAGTCTGGGGATGTGAGGTCAGGTGAACTTGCAGGCCAGTTAACTGGACCTCCTCGTCCGATCCATCTACCATTATAGTTTTCATCCAAAAAAGCCCGTACAATTCGAGCGAAATATGGTGCTGCACCGTCCTGCTGAAGCCACATTCTTTGTCGCGTGTATAAATCAACATCTTCCATCATTGCAGGTAACTGATCTCTTATTAGCTGTAAATAACTATTCCCGTTAACGTTTTCTTCAAAAAAATAAGAACCGATCAAATAACCATTGATGATTCCACACCAAACCATCAGGCTCCAACGCCTCTGGTGATTCACAGTTCTGTGCCAATGAGGATTTTCATTCGACCAATAGTGGCAACTATGCCTATTAAGTTCTTCGTCTTTTTGGAATTTAGCCTCATCAGAAAAAAGGACATAGTTGAAAAAAATTGGATCATTCTGTACTATCTGTAAGGCCCATTAGCAAAACGCAATTCGCTGTTGGAAATGTGCAGGTTGTAACTCCTGGACCAAAGTAATATGATAAGCATGATATTTTAGGACTCTGAGAATTCTTAAAACTGTTCTTCTTGCTATACCATGCCCTCTTTCAATTCGGCGACTGCTGGTATGAGGATCAAGGTGAATGATTGCAAGAACAACCAGAACACGTACATCATTTGCGTCATACACGTGACGCCTGCGTTGCCTAACTAAACGTCCACGACGAGCTCTCTGAGTTATGCGACTTATTTGTCTATGATCTGGGTGTTGTTCGGCTGATAGTCAGGCATTTTTAGAGGTTTCAATCACTCAAACAAAATTAAGATCACGTAATTTAAATCGGAATTTCCAAGACTGATGGAAATAGAAAATTTGAAAAATTATTCAAATTTCATGATTAATTTCCTTGGAGGATTTTTGAAAATTTATAACGTAAAGGAATTGAAGTTATTTTGTTTTTGTTAAGTTGAAGAATTTTTCATACATTTGTAGTATGATTTTGCATTAATAAATTTTTGCAATGAATATTTAATTTACATGTAACATCATTCTGATTTTATGTAATTACAAAATACAAATAATAACTTTAAGATTATCATCTGAATTTTGGAATGGTGATGTCAGAATATGAAAATAAATATCTACATAATTCTTTAATGAGAAAAACATAAAAACGAAAGCTTAGTCTGTAACCGAAGATGAAGGCATAACATAACCTGAAAGTTCAAAGGCAAGGTCATACAGATATGTACCCTTGAAAGTTGAAGAAACTTGTTTGAAGAGTTTACGCTTAACCTTAGGCGTCCCAATTTATTCGGGCCGGAAAAATGACCTTTACATGGCCTTGGAGTTCATACGGATCCCACACATATTACCTTATCTGAACGTAGAATTTCCCGCTTTTTCCGAATCCGGGGTCAAAAATAGGGGTTCCTATTTAAAAAAACAAAGTTGACCTTCAAATGACCTTGAACATGACCTTAGAGGTCAAAGGCAAGGTCACAGGGATATGTCCCCTTCAAAGTTGGGCAACTTTCATCTGAACTATTTTTCGCTAACCCCCATAGTTTCCGAGAACATCGACTGGGTCATTTAAAATAGCCCACCCTGTATTAGTCCATTATGCGACACAAATTGAAATCGTATTTGAAGAAAACAAAATTAATTTCAATAAACTAAATAATAAAAATAACCGTTTTAATAATTTTCCTTTTGTATTCAAGTTTTGTAAAGTTAAATTGTGCAGAAATTAAATAAATAAAATAGCCAACAAAACTCGAAAAAACAATCTCCGAAATTATAAATTAATTAAATAATTCACTTTCAATAGTATGTTAAGCTTCAGGTAAACCGCTTTTTAATGCACATTTTCTCCCTTTTCATTTCATATTATTTAATCAACAAATTTAGTTAATTATTTAAGATATTCATTGTAAACACGTAGAATTAAAGATTTTCGAATAAAATATGTTTAGATATTAAGAAAGCCACGGTATTTTTAAGCACGAGGTACAAAAATTTATATAATAAATTAATAATTATAACTTAAAATTGTAATGAAAGTGGTACTTGGAGAGCCATCTAACGAGATAGGGCCCATACCCTTGAGTGCACGCCCCTGATCTCCACCACGCCCCCGAACCAATTAGGGCCCGAAAACCGAAAGAGAAAAGTGGGAAAATCTCAGTCAGTCAATTAAAAACTACTATCATTTCTACTCTTCCCAAATTTTGAGAGACTGAGAGAGGGATTTTCCTCCTAACCACCCCTAGGCTTTAAAAAGCGTGTGCGAGCGAAAAATAGGCTTTATCTAGTTCAATGTAGCGTCCGCTCCAGTTCCAACTCAAATTATCTCCGACTAGTTAGGAACTCAGCTCTCCAAGTGCTAGAAAGCTACGTCAAATAAAAAAAAAAGTAAGTTAAATCAAAAATTTTTTTGTTGCTATCAAATCTTTCCTCTTCCACTTATGGCTAACTTAGCTAATCGAAATCCAAAAAAAACCTAATCTTCGAGAAATATTTCAGTAAAGATCTAGGATATTTTTCTATAAGACAACCGCGCCGTTTTAGAGTTAATTAAAACTTTTGTGACAATATAAATTCCAGCAAGGTCTGGGATATTCACATACAAGTCTCGATTCCATTGGATCATGGTGTTCGATGGAAGACTTGTAGTCAAAACTTTTTCTTTTTAACGCGAAACGCGGAGTAGAAAGCTCTGATTCTCCAATTGCTCATCCCGGATTAGGCGTACGCACGCAAACCAAAAAGAGCACCTGAGATAACGTCTGCCTCAGACGTTCCTGAGATAGTGATCCGGACGTCACAACATCATTAAATTTATTATGTATTTTATTTTTCTTCTATGTTTTCAACTATTCGTATAATCCATACATATAAAAATTAAATGCTTTATTAATTACTATTTCGAGATGGTTTATTTGAAGGAATACTTTTTGTCTTGAGTTTTTGTAATGTTTTGGTTTCCTCAGTTTGATTAGATCAATATTATACAAATGTTGTTATATTTATTTTAATAACCAAAACTTCCAGTCGGCATTTATTTTAATAGTGGTTTATTTTTATTATTTAATAGTGGTTTACTATAAATAACTTTTTTGACTACTAACTTTTGAAGTTTATTTAGTTGCTCGCCACATGTGCGCATGCGCATGCGTACAACGGCGTAACAACGCATACAAATCACCAAATTTATTGCTAGTCCCAACTACCTGTACAGGAAAGTCACTATTCGCCTTTTTTTTTATTGAGCTTTGGAATCTTACCAAGACTTATTAGCTTATCTACTAACATATTTGTATGGAATACATGTGCATGAGTTCAATTTACATATTTTAAAGAGATATTAACATAGTTTCGATATGTATATTTCACAGATTTGTTACATAGTTTTCGTGAGCTCGTAATTAATTTCATCTAATTAATTAACACTATTCGCCTTTACTTCCCCCAAGAAGAAACATGTGAACATACCACAATACTTATATTGAATATAACCTCTCATAATTAGTACTATAATTAGTACTATATTACATCAATAATTTTTTATAATATATTTGAATCGTGAGTACAATTATATTTTACGCTTTAAAAACTTACAAGAACATCTTACGTAAAAGATATGTTTTTAAATTATTATGTTTAAATATTTAAATTCAGTTTTAGATATACCTATGTGAAAAATATGACACCATTTGAAAAACTTATCATAAGACATTATACATCCAATACTTTCATGTTTAAGGATCAACAAGAAGAGCATTATATAAGTGCTGCAAAAAAAAAGTTATAACGCAAATACAAAATGCTCTTAAAAAGGAACTGTCCATTGATATGTCAGATATATAATCTGTCCATTTACAATAATATTAAGGTTACAGGTTACGGTGTTAATAATGTGTTTCACACAAACATGTGATTTCAATTTATAAATAACACATATTTTTTGGGAAATTATACAGTTTATAATAACAGTCTTCTGTTATACTGCAAATTAGAATAAATAAATAAAATATACAAAATATTCCGAAAGTTATGATGCAAATACTTATTTTTTGTTTTTATTATAGAGGTCCAGATAAAAAGAAAATACAAATATCTGAGAGACATCTTTGTGAAAACTGATAAATCGGTGGTAGCAAAAACTGATTTAACATATTTGCAAAAATGCATATATCAGAGATTGTTTTTCTTAAAACCATTTGTAAATGTAAAGGAAAAGACCAATTTGATTTTAGCTCATGTTGCAAAATATGAAGTTGAAAGTTGAATCAAAACAAAACAAAGCGTAAGTAATGCTTCTAATTAGCAATTGAAAGATTATCTTAATAGTAAGAAGAAACAGATTTCAAGTGAATTATTCATTAACATTTTGTGTGAAAGACTTCAAAATTATAAAGATAGACGTACTCAGAGGAAGGCCTTCTTTGTTATATTAAAAGGAATTAAAGTGCTCAGACATAATTTACAATACAAAAAACAGTAAAGTTAAACTAATGTAAATTGTTTGATATAATATGTTTACTTATAATGAATAATTTACTGTATTTATAATACATCTTTATTCTTTGTACTACATACTGTGAAATATATTACCAAATTTACAATCAGTGTATTTTGTTATTATTAATACAATGACATGTACGTTAATAAGATTCATAACAAATCCACTCCAATTAATCTCATGATTATTGTTCAACTTGTGTATGTTACATAAAATACATAAAGATATTTAACTACTTACCTTACTATACTTGATGTGATATATGCAGTCGCCAGACCAAGGAGCCTATATTATAGTCTCCATGGGCCAAGCCAAGCCAGCCATTTTGATCGTATTTCTAAACTAAAATCACAGAAACTTTTTGCAGATGCTTTTGGTAAGTATTTATAGTTTATACAATGAAAAAAAATCCTAGATATGCTAAAGAAGAATCTATATATATTATGATTATTTATGTATAAAACGACCTAAGTTATTTTAAAAATATACTAATATAATTGTGTTTCAATTATTACTAACCATTGTATTATGAAAATATATAATTTAAGAAATGTGATGTTGATTACAATACATTTGGATTAAAATTTTTTTTATTAATTTAATCTGAAATACAACAAGGACTATTGCAAGCGTAATATATTACAAATGTTTTCATTTGGAAATATAACTATATATAACTATTATTTCCATTTATAGCAATATAAGTATAAAACAGACATCACTTTAATTAAATTTAAGTACTGATGCATAATTTACACGTGGAAGTTTATATAAAATCTGCAAAACTGAATATTAGTTTATGATACATGCCATTCCAATTTTATAGAAACTAATTATCAGATGAACGCACTTACCTTACTGCTAAAAAATGTTTACTTTCAAATATTTAGTTTTTATGTACGTCATTTTGCTTATCGAATGCTTCTAGTTCTTGTTATATATATATATATATTGCAACGATTACCGAAAATCGTTAGACTCGCGCGAGGTAAACGAGCGGCTAAGCGAGAGGAGCCGCGTTCGGTTCGCGAGAGAGAGAGAGCGCGTAGGGGCAATGACCGGGACGGGAGGCTCCGACCGGCAGTATGACTGTGTTACTCAGTCTGTCAGCGTCGCGCTAACCTCCAATCTTCCTGAGTTTCCCGTGTTTTGCCAGAAACATTGCGAACTTGAGTGCGTGGGTGGGTGTGCTAACAGTAGCAGCAGCAGTAGCAGGACCAGCAACTGCAGCAGCAGCAGCAGCAGCAATAGCAGCAACATCAGTAGCAGCAACAACAACAGCAGCAACAGCATACGAAGCGGCACAGCGAGCATCGAAGCGGCGTTTAGCAACTTGTTGTTCGGATACGGTTGGCCACCGTATTCTCATCGTTCTCGCGGTAGGTGCACCTTCCCCTTTTCAATTGTTAATATAATTTGCGTGCGAATCCGCGCAGCGAGCGCGAAGAATTTATTTGTTGCGTGCGAGCAGGTAGTTCGCGGTAATCGCGGTTTTCTCTCTCACTCTCAATCTGCGTGTCTTGTCATTCACGCGAGCGTGCGTAAGTCTCTCGGCCAGACCCTCGTGTAAATAAGTTGCCTTAATAAAGTGCATTTTAATTGTTACTTTCGAGTCAAATAGTCGTTATTTAGTCTTTCCTTTGTCCGGAGGTCGCGCCAGTGTTTATTTTCAGTGGATTCGAATTCGCCGGTTGCGTAGCACGAATCGTGCGAATTCCGATAGACGCGAGTCGACAACTTAGGTTCCGGCGGCGGCCGTACGAGCGCTACTAGCAAGGGGCGACAGCGCCGCCAAGCGGTGAGTTGGGGGAACCCAACTCGGAACAGTGAAGAGACTCTGCGCAGGCGCACTCTGAGGCAAGGTAGGTTACTGTGCTTTGAGCACATAGATAACAAGGCTTCGTCTAGTTATAATAAGGGCACTTCTCTCCTATATATATATAGGAGAGAAGGAAGGGCGGTGGAAGAGTGTGGACATGTCTTGGCTGTGAGTGCGAGTTTTGGTGAGAAAGTTAAAAAAGAAAAGTGTTTGGGGAGAGAAATAGAGGTGAAAAGAGCGTGGAGACGAAAGAGGAGTGGAGTAAAGAGAGAGAGAGGCTTGGAGAAGAGCAGGAAAAAGCAGAGAGAGAGAGGAATAAAGAAAAAAGAAAAGTTGAGGTTAAGAGAGAAAATCAGGAAACGGGAAAGGCAGGTAGAAAGGAGGGGAGGTAAGAAGTAAAGGCGGAGACAGAAAAGGTAAGACAGGGAATAAAGGTGGAAAAGAAGAATGGTTAAAGCACTCCAAGGAACAACTGGGAGAGAAAGAAAAGGAAGAAAGTAAAAGGGAAGAAACCGAAGACAGCGAAGGAGAGGAAGGTGAAGAAATCAAAGAAAGAGAAGTAAAAGAGGTAATAAGAAAAATGAAAAAGAAAAGGCGACAGGAGAAGATGGTATAGTAAATGAAGCGTGGATGGAAGGCACGGAAGGCTTGATAAAATATATGACAAAATGCTTAAACGCAATATGGAACGGAGAAGGATATCCGGAAGAATGGAGGAAGAGAATAATAGTACCAATATATAAGAAAGGGATGAAAGAAGAAGTAGAAAACTATAGAGGAATAACGTTGATGGACACGGGATATAAGATATATGCGGAAATACTGAGGAAAAAGCTGGAAAGAGAACTAGAAGCTAAAGAAAAGATAAGCGATAGGCAGATGGAATTTAGGAAGAAAAGAGGAACAATGGACGCAATATATATATTAGAAACAATGATAGGGAAGGAACTAAGGGAAAAAGGAGGAAAACTGTTTGTATTCTTTGCCGACATGAAGGCCGCTTTTGACAAGATAAAAAGGAAGAAAATATGGGAAACAATGAAAGATAAAGGGATAAATAGAAAAATTAGGAAAAGAATAGAAGAAATATACAATAAAACAGGGAGTAAGGTAAAAGTTGGAGGAGAAATAATTGGGGAGTTTGAGACTTACAAAGGCGTAAGGCAAGGGTGCCCTTTGAGCACCACGCTATTTAATCTTGCCTTCGCCGACCTGGAAGTGAAGATCAAGCAGGTGCAGGAAGGAGGGTTAGTGATAGGAAGGAAGAAAATATGAACATTAGGATATGCACACGATATAGTGATGATGGCAAAGAGTGAAAGTGGAATAAAAGCAATGCTGAAAAAATTAAAAAGATACCTGGAAGATAGGGGATTGGAGTTAAATGTAGGAAAATCAAAGATGATGAAATGCAGGAGAGGAGGAGGAAGAGGGAAGGAAGAAGAATTCGAATGGGATGGTGAGAAGATAGAGATGGTTAAAGAGTACAACTACTTGGGATATGTGATAAGCAGAAATAACGGAAATAAAAAGTAGATAAAGAAGGAAGAAGGGAAAATAAATATGGGACTCGGAAGACTATGGGGGCTAGGAGAAAAGCTCTTTAGAGAAAATTGGGAGCTAAGGATGAACCTGTTCGATGCACTGGCGAAAAGCGTGATTATGTATGGAGCAGAAATCTGGGGATGGAAGAGATATGAAGAAATAGAGAGACTACAACTAAAATACATAAAGTGGGTATTAGGATTAGATAGAAACACGCCGAGTTACTTAATACGATGGGAAACTGGAAGACAAGAAATGAAAGAAACAGCATTAGAAAGAGCAATGAGGTATGAAAACAAAATAAGAGAAGAAAGAGATGGCTCAATAAAAAACGAAGCATAGAGAGAACTAAAGAAAAGGGAAAGAAATGAAAAAGTTAAAAAGGGTAAGAAGGAGGAGAGAGAGGAGAGGCTGGAAAAAAGTAAAATATACAGAGAGAGGGAAGAGGGAGATGAAATGAGGGAAGAGTTTTGGAAGAAATAAGAGATGAGCTAAAGAAAAAACATGAAAAATAACTAGAAGAAAAACTAGAAAAATCAAGATACATAAACGAGTAGAGAGAACTGAAAGAAGAAATGAAAAGGTATAGGTTAAAGGAAATTCAAGGAGAGGGAAGAATAAAAGGCCTACAAATAAGGGAAAGGTTTAGGTTAGGTAAATTTTAAGGAATTTTTAAAGCTTTCACAACAAATGTAAAAGATATAGAAACTGATATTAATGCAAAAAATTTTAGTCAATACGAAGAAAAATGCAAAGTAAATCATGTATTTACAAATGAAAAAAATAAAACAGTAACTGCAACAATAGAAGTTCCATCTATTCTATATAAACATATAAAAAACAATAGTAACAAATTATTTATTGGATGTAAAAACTGCAGAGTCTTTGACGTCATCAACACATATCCGTGTTACAACTGCTCAGGTTTTGGCCACGGCGGCGGAAAGTGTGAAAAAGCAAAAAAAGAGCCAACGTGTTATAAATGTGCTGGCAAGCACCAAGCAAAAATGTGTAGTAGCAGCATACTCCCATGTCCAAACTGCATTTTCCACAATGAAACATATAGTAAAAACTACAACGTAAACCATAGTGCAATCGACAGCGAAATGTGTGAAGTTTTAAAAATGAAAATAAAAAGGTATATTGAAATAACAGATTATCCAATTCAACCAACTTATCAAAGATATTTTGGTAGAATAAACTTTGAAACAAACACCCGCAAGATATATAACCGTCCGAGAATAAATAACAGTTTATCGTTATCATCATTACCATATTTTCCGGTGTATAAGACGCACCTTTTTACCGTCAAACCTGACTCAAAACCAGCCTGCGTCTTATACACCGAATGTAAGACACCCCAAATCCACTAACCTAACTAAAACGTGCGCCTGAATAGTAGCAATTAGACAACCCTCACTAACTATGAATATCTTTCAAAACTAGCCAATGACAGAGTGATTACTTATTTAATAGGTAACTTCTTTATTATTTCAATAATATATAGTAAACGTACTTTATGTCTGAGGATGATAAAAAATACCTATTACCTATATGCCACTTGGGATCAAAAAACGTCGCATAATATACTAGATAATTAATACGAGATTTTTTATAAAAACGGTATTTTTGTTGCATCGTTTATTTCAATATAATTTTGAAAGTGTTTTTTGAAGTAAGAGACTGACTTGAATTCCAATATGAGCGAAACTAACAAACGAAAATCG